CTTTGAAAGGCAGCATTTAAGCACTAGGAGATACCCAGGTGAACCTGGGGAATGAGCATCCTGGCCGAGGGCAGGGCAAAAGCCGCGTGGCTGGGGTGAAACGGGGAGGAGGGGCAGTCACAGAGAGAGAAGACGTCTGAGAATTGACAGGGGACAGATCATACAGAGAATTGTAAGCTGTTGAGATATGGGATGGAAAGCTATTACAGAGTTTTATTTAAAGCATTAATGTGATATGGCTTACAGTTTTTTTTATTGAGATGTAATTCACATATCATAAAACTCACCCTTTGAAAGGGCACAATTCAGTGGTTTTTAGTATAGTCACAAGGTTGTGCAACCACTTCTAACTCCAGAACATTTTCATAACCGCAAAAAGAAGCCCTCGACCCCTAAGCAGTCACTCCCCTTTCCCATGCCCCTCTCCGGCTCTGGCAACCACTATCTACTTTCTCTATGGGTTTGCTTATGGTAGTCACTTCATATATATGGAATCATAGTATGTGTGGCCTTTTGTATCTGACTTACTTTTTACCTGGATCTCTCTGACTGCTGTGATGAGAACATGCTGAAAGGAGGCAAAGTCAGAAGCAGGGAGACCAGTGAAGAGATCAATGCAGTAATTCAACTGAGAGATGAAAAGAGTCTGAAATAGGATGGGAAGTGAGATGGTAAATAACGGCTGGATCTTGAGTCATTTAGACAGGCTGGATACTGAGAATGAGAAAAAGAAAAGGAAAAGACAACTCTTTGGCTTTTGTCTCCATTCTTAAAAAGATGGGGCTGACACCTACTTAGGGTGCAAGGCTACTGGGGGTTGCAGACTGAGAGGAAACCACAGGGGCATGTGTTTAGAGATGTTAATTAAATCTGGGATGATGATGAGCCTTCTGTGTCAAGATGCCAAAGAGAGAGATGAATATGAGTCTGGAATTCAAAGGACACATCTGGGCTAGAGACAGAAATGTAGAAGTTTGAGAGTGGGAGACATTAATATCATGAAACTAAATAACATCATCAAGGACATGAGTGATTAGAGAAAAGAAAAGAAACACAGAGAAAGAGTCTATGGACATGTAAATATTTATATGTCAGAGAGATGAAAAAGAATGAACACAAAAGACTAAGAAGAAAACACAAATAAGGTGAGAAGACCAAGAGAGAAAAGAGTCTTAAAAATCAAACGAACACACTTATCATGGCAGAGGGCATTGTCCACTCTGCCCAATACTGCTGACAGATCACTGAAAATTAGCCACTGGATTTAGGAACATGCCAGGCAGTCATTCAGAGTCCATGTATTTTCTTTCCCTCCATCTTGTTCACTCCACTCCAGCCATATCTACCCTTGCATTTGCCATTTCATCTGCTAGGTGTATGCTTTCCCCAGATACGGCTATGAAATAGTCTGAGTGGAGTGAAGAAGTCACAAGTCTGACTGGAGTGGGTTCAAGAGACAGTGGTAGAAAAAGAAGTGAAGTCAGCAGCAATTCTTTTGAGAAGTGTAGTTGTAAGGAGATGAAGAAAAACAGCTGTAAATAGAAGGTAGTGTAAAAGAGAGAGCTTTAAAATGGGAGACATAAAGACATGTCCGTGTGCTGGTGGGACAAATCAGTAGAAAGGGAAGAAAATTATGCCAGAAGGAACTTAGAACGGCTGAGATAGGGGACAGAATTAAACACATATCATCTGCTCATCAGATAGTCAACAATTAAAACATAAACCATCTACTCATATAGGAAAAACAAATAAGGACAAGTTATTTTTTTCCAGAGACACCGAAACCACTTAAAGTGATCTGGATCCATTCTTCAAGGCTAAAGTTATTGGATTAATTGTACACACAGGGTTAGATTCAGGCTTCGGCTCTAGGCTTGGAGTCATAAGATCCAAGTTCAAGGACCATGATAAGTTACAGTGTTCCAGAAACTTCTTTTGACCTCCCTCTTTTGCTCATAGAATACTTATTAAGAGCAGCCTGTCCCTCTACCTTGTATAATTGATATGATGATCAAATAAAACATGTCCCTGTGAGGTATGTTCAGTGCTACTAGATGAGGAACAACTGCACACCCCCGAGTCTCACTCCAACACTCTACATTCCAGTTCCAAGAAGGGGAAAAGGCAAAATGAAAAACTGGGGGAAGAATAAATAAAGCATCAAGAAGTAGAAGTTTCTGGTTATATATTTGAAACACATTCAATAAGCTGGATATGCATTATGCCTTAATTTTCACTTTATTAAAAAAACTCAACAACCAAAAACCCTCTGGTTTAGATTCAGCTGAACCTGGGGCAAAAAAAAACAAAAGAAGTACACTAAATTTGACTGTAGATGTGAAGCAAGATCATGCTTAAATAAAGATGTGACTTAATACCATCCCAGGAATCTCTTTTATTCTCCATGCTACCTGCAACCTACCAAGTGAAAGGGAACGTCTTAGCTGCTCAGCTGTATCCGACTCTTTGTGACCCCATGGACTGTAGCTCTCCAGGCTCCTCTGTTCATGGAATATTCCAGGCAGGAACACTGGAGGGGGCTGCCATTTCCTTTTCCATGGGATCTTCCTGACTCAAGGATTGAACCCTCATCTCTTGCATTGCAGGCAAATTCTTTACCATCTGAGTCATCCACCTGCCAAGATCATGTTAAATAAAAAGACTATGTGCTCCTCGACATTTTGTCAAATAGATATTAGCAGGTGTTTTGATTAATTTTTATCTGTTAATTAATTTTTAATTCTGCCTGCTTTGTGTATGGACCACAGCTCTCTTTAAGGAAAATATTCCTTACAGGGTATTTTGATCCAGCCATAAATTTTTCATTAATTATTTATTTCTTCAAGTAAACTAAAACACAAAGGTGTGTGTTCATTTTTTCAAGTGAAAAAATCTACCTTTATCAAAGAACGATTAACATGAAGAATTCTGATATGGAATTTACAATAAATGCCAAAGTTGAACTGACCTTATTACTCAGCGCCCCCTCACATTTGATCGGAAAACTAAAGAACTCAGCTAGCCATGGGACCTCACAAGCCTTTAAAGTGTGAAAGACAGAATATATGAGAAAATACACACACACACACCTATATGTATGTGTGCATGTATATATGTCTCTCTCCTTTAAAATATATCTATATAATCATATACACCACTTGGCAGAGGAGTTGGAGTTTCCTTGTGGGGACTTCCCTGGTGGTCCCGTGATTAAGAATCCACCTGGCAATGCAAAGGATGTGGATTTGATCCAGGCCTGGGAATTAAGATCCCATACGCCACAGAGCAATTCAGCCCATGCTGCAACCACAGAGCCTGTGTGCTCCAGGGTCTGTGCACCCCAACTGGAGAGCCCGGGTACTGCAACTTCTGAAGCCGGCACGCCAGCTAGAGAATCTCTGCACCACAAAGAAAGACTCAGCATGCTGCAAGGAAGACACCAAGTGATGCAACTAAGACCTGATGCAGCCAAATAAATATTTTTTAAAAAGAGCTTCTTTGCAAAATCAGTGTGTACACCTCCTGTATAATTAAGAGGAATAAGGGCTTACTTTTTTCCAATTATAAAGATAACTTTGTATCTTTACATTTATGAATACCTGTATACCAGTAACTTAGATACTGCTTCTTTAGTTAGAATTTCAACATCTCACTAAAATCCCTATGACTCTTTTTTACATAAAACAATTCACTTTGTAATGATGTAAATTACAGAGATTCTAGGAACAAATTATTCTGATGGATAAGTGTATCTACCTCAAGCTCCAACTTAGTGACACACTCCAGCATTATTGAGGAAGAAATTATCTTAAGTAAGTGATTTTTTGGAATTAGCTTTTATCAAAGTATAGTTGCTTTCCAATGCTGTGTTAGTTTTTAGCTGTGCAGCAAAGTGAAGCAAAGTATAAAGCATTTCATACTTAAATAAATGATATAAACTGATTTTTCTTTAAGTTAAAACCTATCGCTTAAGGGGCCCAAGTCATCTCAAGAATTGGTTTAGATTTGACTTTAAAGAAAGTTTTATCATAATACTATTATAGCATTATAATTATATAATTAAAAATATAATGAATATAATGTCATAATTAACACTATTAAAATATTAACTCATCTCAATTACTTAGGGTCATCATTACAAATATGCAGTAATAAGCTACATTATAAGATCTTCATAAATTCAGAATTTGTTGCAGAATATGGATCCCTGTACCCTCATCCCAGGTAGATGCAGGCTACACTTTTTCTTAGATGACTCTGTCTGCCTCTTACAGCTTTTCTGCCTTCCCTGCCTTGGCAGGAAGCCAGCAGTCATTTCTTGCTCCTATCAGTATGCCTGTAGCTAGCAGGCTCCCCTATTTTCATGCAGTTTTTTCTTGATTCTAAAAAGTAGCAGTAGTAGAAAAAGCCATGGTCTCAAAGTGTGGTGGTTCTGCCACAGCCCAGCTGCAAGCCCTCAACAAACCACTGAACCACTTTAGGAATCTGTTTCCTTATCTACACAATTAAAGAACTGGACTGAATGATGGTTAAGTTCCATCCAACCATTAAACTTCATAATGAATGAATTTTTCTAAGAGCTAGGAAGTCCACCACCTAAGTTTATTAGAACTGTGTCCAAACAAAGAATAGAGAAACTCAGAGAAAGGACCTCAGAAGTTTCCATACTTCTGTGCATGGATCTTGGGCTTGCTAGGTCATGGACTTTTCAGTCTTCTAGGTTCTTTGTTTTATCTCCAGTAAGTGAGGTTTTGCATTGGATAAATCATGTCTGGACAAATGGGACAGAATTATATTAAGTGCTTTTGGAACAGAAAATTAAATATGACTCTTAAATATACTTCTTTCACATAAAAGATAAGAACTGAGAAATTTTCAGAAATTCACAGAATAAATTATTCCCTTATGAAAACTTTTGCTTCTAAGTGCATTTCCATTTGGTAAATGGAAACACATATAAACAAAATGCATGACACTACATGCATTAAAAAATGACTCACCTATAACTACATCATGCCCATCAACCAAGCCAGCAGAGAAGAGCTCCTGAGAAACGCCGTCTGCAGTATCTGCCCAAATGTGAAATGAAGGTGGATCAAAAACCACACAATAAATATTAACAATCAATAAAATTAACATGTAAAATATATATACTTTTCATTTAGAAAAACCATCCATTTCAACAATTCAGATTCTATCAGGAGGAAAAATCAGAAGCAACGTGAAATACATTTGCCACATACAATTTGCATCCTGTTCTTTGTTCAACAGAAGTTCTACAAAATTACTGTTTCATTTTTGGTGAGCCAAGAAACTTTTGCCTTTTGTCTCTCTATCTGAATTAGTCCTCAAATACACCTCTAGAAGTTAGCTCATAACTGGTCCCTATGACAATGCTTTTCTTTCTTGCCAAGGTTAATTCCAGCCACCATCAATCTTTTCCTATCATTAGTAGCTACTGAGTTAGAATTTATGGCAAAGGTTGAAGAGGTAGCATTTGATACAACCTTATATTTGGTACAAACAGCCTGTGAGCTTGTTGGACTATTAAGATGAGCTATTTGAATGAATGCTATTAAGAAAATCCTTTAACGTGACATTGATCATTCGATAGCAACAGACTCATTCTCTTAGAAAATGTGGTTGAATAAAAGAATGTAGCGTCTCAGTGATAATTGACAGGGGTTAGCAATCTCATAAAGATGAGATTGAACAGGCTGCAGCAAGTGAATATAACAGAGATTACTTAATTGAGAGGTAATACATGAGCATGACAATAGTGAGAAGTCTGTTTGAAGGCTTTGTGAAGGGAAATTGATAAATTGCCACGTGCTCAAAGAACCATTATGAATCTTGATGTTTTCACAAGGGAGACTACATGCTCTCCATGGCAGCCTGATATTATCACAAATATCCAGTATTAGAGTTAGATAAGAAGAAACTGGGAAAGTATAGCTCCTGAATCAAGTAACCACCTAAACTGAACTACAGTTTGCTACGCCAAAGGCTGCCTTCATCAGAGAATGGGTTTCCCTGCTTATCTGTGTTTCAAATGTGATGACTATGTAAGTGGGCTTGAGCATGTGTTGTGTATGTGTGTACTCATACTCAACGTGAGCACATAGCTCAAGGTACAGTTACCTTTCACAGTGGGCTTTAATATGCTTAGCCTGGTGTCTAACTCATAGTAATTACTCAACAAATGGTAACTGTGATGATGATGAGGCAACCAGAGACCATCTGAAATGCACCTTCTTTCTCCCTCTCATACATGGCCCAATTTTCCAAATTGCTAACAAGACTGAGAGTTGATATATATGCTTTGTACTTTCAGAGAAACTGTGGTATTCTATCATTTTACTCATCTGATGAAATGGAATCAATGAAGGAAATGGAAAAGGAAAACAAAGGAATCTTACTAAACAATGAAATTCCATATAAGGTGGGCTTATCTTGAACCTTGTCCTCACTATTAGAAGTACAAGAAACACCATACAAAATTCTCTCAGAGATAAAATAATTGCATAGCATGAACCTTGCTGCTTAGTCGCTAAGTTGTGTCCGACTCTTTGCGACCCCATGGGCTGCAGCCCGCCAGACTCCTCTGTCCATGGGATTTCCAGTCAGGAACACTGGAGTGAGTTGCCATTTCCTTCTCCAGGGGATCTTCCTGACCCCGGGATCAAGCCCATGGCTCCTACATTGGCAGGCAGATTATTGCTGAGTCACCAGGAGGCCCATAGCATGAACCCAGGATAGCACAATACAAGGCTCTAGTCTGAATATGATGTAGCTTTATAAAGTCGGCTAGAACATTCAGCCTCACAATCTCCATCTTCCTGGATGCCACTAGAAACTTCAGGAAAAGCAGCATATTGAATAAAAGTGTCTGCGCCTCATAGATACCAGGCATACAGTAGGCAGTGGTTACATGTTACTGACTATCTGTTAAAGCAACTGGATGTGATACCACCATCTCTAAAGTTACCAATAAGATCTTACACTTGAGTAAGGAGCTATAATCAAAGAAGTCAGATGAGAATGGAATAATCAAACAAAGCCACACTGAGGGCTAGCACTAAAGCAGTATTGAAGCAAAGAACATTCCCAAATCATTAAAGTGTGCGGCATCTCTGACTGTTTTCAGGACTGTTGGGTACCGAATGAGTCATATCAAAATAGCAAATGGGTGGTGCTTGTTGGTCAAGAATGGAAATGTTCCTGGTTTGTGTGTGTGTGCCTTTCAGCAGTTATTTTTCATGCATGTTAAGTAATATGTCAGTAATAGTTTAGAACAAAAACTTGAGGTAACTGATAATTTATTTTTCATTAAGCTGTCTATCATTCCTGATGCATAAACAGGTTAAACAATCATAAATAATCATGTATGCTCTGCTTTCTAGACCATTACAGCAACATAACAAACACAAAGGGATTGCCCTCAAATGAGGACAGAATATTTGATACGTTCACTTTATACATTTGATGCCAGGTATATTTATGTGTGTATATAGCAGAGACATAGTACCCATGGTATGCACGCACAGATGGAGTGCAAACAACATCTGAAATGCTTGACAGCATCAGTAATCACACAAGTGCAGTGATTCAACTGTGGTGTTTCTGAAACTATTAATAACGGGATGTGCTCGCTGCCCAGGGAGGGCCAGCTATCACTGGGAAGTCAGCACTGTGGTCTCTGTCTGGGCAACAAAAGCAGAGACTGAATCTAACCATGGCAAATGGGGCTGCCAAAGCCAGCACAAAGGGCCAGGTAATACAGACAGTGCTGTCTTATCCCCAGCAATCCTCAACTCAGAAATTCATTTCTTTGTTCCCTTTGAAAATAAAATTGATTTTTATTGCCACTGTCAATCTTAAACAATCAGATGAAAAAAAAATACTGTTAAAATAAAAATCTGTTATTTTTATTCACTATACTTGAAACTCTTATTATATAATTGTTAGATTCTTATCACAGAATTGGCTGGTCAACATTTTTATATTATGCCAAAATAGCTTTTAGATAACAGCAACCGGCAGCAGTTCAATTTCACAGACCGACTCTAAACTGTCAAAGATTCTCCCCAGAAAGAAATATCAGTTAGGAAATTCACTAGGTCCTCATTTATGTTTCTTTTGTAAAAAGATATGTTGAATTCAAATATACTAGAAATCATGATGATGATTATTATTATTATTTTCTTGACTACACAGCATGGCACGCGGGGATCTTATTATCCCCCAACCAGGGATTGAACCTGTGCTTCCTGCCCTGGACAGGAGTCCTCTGGAAACCATGACATCTTTGTGCTTACAGGAGACTAGAGATCAGGGCCACTGAGTCCATAACCACCAATGGCCCAGGAACGTTATTTTATTTGGTGGGCAGGGTTTGTTCAAAACTGAGCTGGAATGTACTTAGAACTCTCTGGTTGCCACAATTCACTTTGGCTCCTGTAAGCATTTGCTTTTGTGTCTTCTTACAGGTGGTAACAGCAAGGAGGTCAAGCCATTAACTGACTGACCAGCTATCAAGTCAGGAAAGTTTCAGGTTTTCAAAATTTTAGCACAGGCAATTTCAACTTTTTGAATCAAGTCAAATTTGACACGGAGTTCTCATACATAAAATAATTATAGCCTGTTATATGTTCAAATGTATGAGATCAATGAAATATCAAGGCTATTTTCATGTAAAAGTCTGAAACCAGAGGTCAAGGACAGTAACTGTTACAGTCATAGCATTAGCACCTGATTTTCACTTCTTCAGACTGTTCTGGTTATGAACTAAAGAGTGGAAATAGCAATTTTTGTTCAACAACTAGTATTGTGATCTCTAAAGCCTGAATCCATTAATTAACCAAAATGACTTGGGATTCTCCTGCATACCAGGTGCTTGCCAGGTGCTAGAGACACCTAGAAACAGGACGTGGTTCAAAGACATCCATGCATCCCAGCACTAAAAGAACAACCAGTCTAGCCCTGACACTATTTCAGTAATTACTCAAAATGCTAAAATTACATTCAGCTGCCAGATTGGCATTGTTCCTACCAAGCCTCCTAGTGGTGCCTGTAGCAAGTAGCAGCCCAGACACTGCTCAACAGTCTGCGTATAATCTGAACGGACAACAGAGAGGCCAAGTATGCTGCCTTTTGGTCTGATGTCATGGTTTGTTGCTCAGCCGTAATTAGGACTGCTATGCTCATCTCATCACACTCATCATAATGTCCTTTAGGCCCTGCATCACCATGCCAGCACTTCTTTTCACGACTGAGCTAACAGATTTAATTTACAGGTGTGTGTATTCTGTGTAGCACATGTCATTAGAATTCATGCAATCAGCAGTAGCTTTGGTTTGGATTCTCTGCAATTACTACATTATCCTTCCTTCCTCTCTTCTTTCCTTCCTTCCCTCCTTTATTGTTAGGGAACACATTTTTGAATAGCAAATTATAACCACACGCTTATGATCAATTTCTGAAATGCTCTTTGTAGCAATAAAATAATAATTTCAATTGAAACTTACCTCTTCCTGGAGTAAACTCAAATCGTATGTCATTAAGTTCCTTCCTGGAGTTTCTGAAATTACATAACATATTAAAATCTAATGAAGCAGAGTTTAACCAAAATAAGTGTATTCCAATTTTTATAAGATGCTACTGACACACAGATAGCATTTAACAGTTTTAGGGTTACCTCTAATACTTCTTTAACTAGAAGAGGCAGTTATGACAATAATAAAGGAAAGTATTTGTTTAATTGATCACATTTACCTTATACAAACATGATTATATCACAAAATTCTAAAAATAAATGTTCCTTTTACAACATCTACACTAAATCAGTAACCTTAAATTTAATTCTGTAATTAAAATTTTCAGAAGCTTTTAGTCTAGCATAAATAATATTCAATACAGTTTTCATATTTTCCTTGGAAAATAGCATTTTATCAAATTATTTTTAGAAGTGAAACAAAGGGGATAGTCTTAGCAGTAATTTCATGACAGCACTATACATTAAATCATCCAACGAAACAGCCATAATAACGTGTGTAGTTTGCTTTTAAAAATTTTATCTAAATAGAGGGGACCTGTGAATGTTGTAAAATTGCCCACTGAATATACAAAACTTGAGAACAATTTTAAATGACTACATAAAAGTACAACAGACACATATATGTACATGCAACCAGAAAACTAAATGACCCTGGGGAAATATGGAACAAGTATCTAAGATATGAGTTTCCCAGAAACAGATTCATAGACAGAGAACGAATTTATGATAACCATGCAGGAAGGCTAGTTAGGAAGTTTGGGATTAAAATGTACATGACTGCTATATTTAAAAAAAAAATATGAGTTTTTCATTTATACTAATATCAAGACATGCTAAGGGCCAGTGAGTTATAATTAGAATGGTCTTAATTTCTCATAACACTAAAATATTATGAGTAACTCTCAACAGATACTAGAATTAAAGTTAATTAAAAAAAAAAACTTTAAGAAACTGCAACAGGACATATGAAATAGTAATTTCTGTATGCACTCTGCTCTGCTGCCGAGGGTGCCCAAGACTGAGACAGAGACAGTCTGAATACCCAGCCATGAACATTCTCCTTCCCATGCCAGGAGAGTGTGATCAAATCTTCTAATAGTGCAGTTTGATACTGTAAAACCTTGGGTCATTCAGTACAGTGCCTGAATCTTGATGACATCAGTCTCTGAGCCTTCTTTGTTCCCGAAACGGACGGTGGTTATGTCCTACCACACCCTGTGGCACCAAGTGAAAGGAGGTTCAGAAAGACAACAAAGGCAGAGTGCTGACTGAGAGAAAGCTCTTCTCCTGGTGCCCAGGGAAGCGAGCCCATTTAACACCTTCCACAAGCAGGGAGGAAAAGGGGCAAGAACTCCAGAGACACCCAAGCCCACGGTATCAACATGGGAGCCTTGAACCTTGGCATATCCTCTCTGGTGTCTGCACCATGATTTTATCATTACTCCTCTGGGAGACAAAAATGGGACCAGCAGATACTAGCAATTGCTATAACTGTGCTTTATTTAGGACCTTCTGAGGATCTGAAAACTGAAAATTGTGGATGTTCACACTGAAAAAAAGTAGAAACATGATCAATATGTGAAATTGCAGGCAACATTCAGAAAACTAAGATCATGGCATCTGGTCCCATCACCTCATGGGAAATAGATGGGGAGACAGTGGAAACAGTGTCAGACTTTATTTTTGGGGGCTCCAAAATCACTGCAGATGGTGACTGTCGCCATGAAATTAAAAGACGCTTACTCCTTGGAAGGGACGTTATGATCAACCTAGATAGCATATTACAAAGCAGAGACATTACTTTGCCAACAAAGGTCCATCTGGTCAAGGCTATGGTTTTTCCAGTGGTCATGTATAGATGTCAGAGTTGGACTGTGAAGAAAGCTGAGCGCCGAAAAATTGATGCTTTTGAACTGTGGTGTTGGAAAAGACTCTTGAGAGTCCCTTGGACTGCAAGGAGATCCAACCAGTCCATCCTGAAGGAAGTAAGTCCTTGGGTGTTCATTGGAAGGACTGATGCTGAAGCTGAAACTTCAATACTCTGGCCACCTCGTGCAAAGAGTTGACTCATTGGAAAAGACCCTGATGCTGGGAGGGGTTGGGGGCAGGAGGAGAAGGGGATGACAGAGGATGAGATGGCTGGATGGCATCACCGACTCGATGGGCATGAGTTTGAGTAAACTCCGGGAGTTTGTGATGGACGGGGAGGCCTGGCGTGCTGCGATTCATGGGGTCTCAAAGAGTCGGACACGACTGAGTGACTGAACTGAACTGATGGAGGAGGCAATGGCACCCCACTCCAGTACTCTTGCCTGGAAAATCCCATGGACGGAGGAGCCTGGTGGGCTGCAGTCCATGGGGTCGCTAAGAGTCGGACACGACTGAGTGACCTCACTTTCACTTTTCACTTTCATGCACTGGAGAAGGCAATGGCAACCCACTCAATGTGTTCTTGCCTGGAGAATCCCAGGGATGGGGGAGCCTGGTGGGCTGCCGTCTCTGGGGTTGCACAGAGTTGGATACGACTGAAGCGACTTAGCAGCAGCAGCATAATATAGATAATTCAGAGATCATTTTGGACTCCAGCCTAAATAAACTGCCCTGAAGATGGAGTGGGCAACAAACAACCAGTGTCTGTAATGGCAGGACTATGTGCATGTTGCCTAAGTTTTCATAATAAATGACAGTGTCATCACACATTACACAGTGCTTTCATATCCATCGGCAGTTCTCAAATGTTTTGGTCTTACGACCCCTTTACATTCTTAAAAAAGTATCAAGGACCCCTAAAGAGCTTTTGTTTGTGCTGATTATGTCCATCAATATTTACTGTATTGGAAATTAAAACTAGTTCATTTAAAAATATTTATTAATTTACATGAAAATGACAATAATTAGCACATCACATGTTAATGTAAAGGAGTTTTTATGAACAATTATTTTACTTTCTAAAAGAAAAGTCAGTGAATGCATTGTTTTCTATTTTTGTAAACCTCTCTGTTGTCTGGCTTAAGGTAGCTGGTATATGTTGTCCTTCATATTCAACCTGCTGCAATATCACAGATCATGGAGCCAGCCACTGGAAATTCCACCATACATATATGGAAGAATGAAAGTGAAAAAGGCCAATAATTTCTTATTATAAAAACAGTCCACCTCGTAAGGTCCTTGAACAGTCTCAAGGACCCCCAGGGATCACAGGACCACACTTTGAGAAATACTGATATCAGATTTCATTTGATCCCAACAATCAATCTTTGAGACATGCAAAGTAGGTATTACCTGGTTCCCACTTCTGATGAGCACATTCAATGGCTTTTCCAAGTTTACAAAGGTAATGAGTGGCAGAGTGAGGATCAACAATTCTATACTGTAAATACCTACTGCAAATAGAAATGTTTGATTCCCTTTACTTTTTAAGAGAAAACAAGTATTCCCCAACATTTTGCACGTTACCATGAGAAGATCAGTAAGCATTCACTTACTTAAGAGCCTTGGTCTTGTGTGTTATGTATCAGCAAAGATTGAATGAGGACTAAAACAATTCAATTAAAAAAAAAACCACCAGGAAAGCAAGTATTTATGGTGTATAAATAATGAAATGACAGAGGGAGAAAATGAGAATCAATTAGGTTTGATGCTAATGTATCCCACTATTCCTTTCCTCTTTTCTTTGATCAGATTGTCTTAAGTTATTTTGTTCTACTAAGGTCATGGACTTCCCTGTAGCTCAGCTGGTAAAGAATCTGCCTGCAATGCAGGAGGCATGGGTTTGATCTCTTGGTCAGGAAGATCCCCTGCAAAAGGAAATGGCAACCCACTCCAGTATTCTTGCCTGGAGAATTCCATGGACAGAGGAGCCTGGTGAGGTCCTCTGGGGTCCACGGGGTCAAGAAGAGTCGGACACAATTGACTGACTAACATTACTACTAAGGTCATGGAAGAGAGGTCTAAGAACTGTAACCAAAACATCGTCATGCATATTCTGATTCTTTAAATATTAATCCCACAAAACTAATATCCAACATCCATAATCTCTGTGTACATCAACGGTGGCTCAAGTTATGAAGGTTGCCTAGCCAAGTCATTCTCCTTTAACTCTGAACCAAAAATACCCACTTTTGAAAAGATCACAGTGATTGAGTGTGTGTAGAGACTTGTCCCATCAGGGTGAAATATAGTTGGAAAAATGCCTAATTGGATCTGACTACTGAAGGTCATCCTTTTATAAAGAATTAATCTTTTCAGACTCATACTTAACACCTTTAATTGAAAGTACATTTACTTTAATTGATATGGCACAGGATACTCCTAATTTCAGGGGAGCTGAAAATAGGTATGATTTAAGGCCAGAAACTATGCAACTTTCCAGGGCAAACGTTAATAACTTGAGAGTTTCAAGACCCAGGTGATCTCTGATAACTTAAAAACTCTTTAAAAAATAAAACAAAACAAAACAAAGAACAAACTCTTAAACTGGTTAAGGCACAACACCTCTGCATCACAAACACAATACCTACAGGGCCCAGGCAGGAAATTTCTTTTTTAAAATAGGTGATAGCATGGTTTAAAAATCAAAAAGTACAGTATAGTATGGGCATCCCTGGAGGCTCAGACAGTAAAGAAACTGCCTGCAATGAAGGAGACCTGGGTTCAATCCCCAGGTCAGGAAGACCCCCGGAGAAGGGAATGGCTACCACTTCAGGATTCTGGCCTGGAGAACTCCATGGATAGAGGAGCCTGGTGGGCTATAGTCCATGGGGTCGCAAAGAGTCAGCTACAACTGAGTGACTAAGCAACAGGCAGGTTCAGTGGGATTCTGTGAAATCTAGCCCTCTCAACTCCTTTTGCTCATCTGTCTGCCCCCTCACTGAGGCAATCATGCTATAGGCTTTTTGTGTATGCTTTGTGAGATGTTTTACATATGCACTAGCAAATACACAGCAAATATATAGAATTGCATTCTATATCCACTGTTCTGCATCTTGCCTTTTATTTAACTTAATAATATACCTTGGAATTTC